ACTCTCCCAACCTGTCAATATGTAACTTCATCTCCAAGATGTTGGCATATACAGACTTCCATCTTTGTGTTTGCTTGCCAATAGGGCTTGAGTGACCTTAAACTTTTCAACTTTGAACTTGTGGGTTAGGGAGAATAATTGGAGGAGGTAGAGGAAGTAAAGTATGATTTCCAGTCCCATTAATGCACGACAAAGGGATTAATCTTTCACCTTGATCGTCATGTGGGATATCATCTTCATTAGAAAACTTTTTTCTAAAAGGATAAGGAAGACCATAGTTGTCAGAACTAGACATCTATGAGGGAGAAATTCAAGTTAGTTGATTTAAGTCCTTAATATAACACCCAAAATGAAATATTAAGGCTAGGACCCAACACAGTATTCTATAATTGCGAAAAGGGATGCCGTAATCCAACTGTAGAATATTTGAAGGAAGGTAAATGACGATTTACCAATTTCCACCATGAAAAACGAAATTTAAGTTTTAAATGAATTGAAATTCCTAGATCTTTTGAGATTCATTGAACTTTTCAATGACATGTTTAAATCTCGATTGTGCCCTTCAAGTTTGTGACTGGGATGCCGAGGATCACAAACAAGGTGTGAATAACCATGAAAATTAGCTTGGTACACTTAATGTTACAGATCACCTAATAAATGTGCCGTTTAACCACACACGCTCCATTGATCTATGATTAACATCAAGCTACCCTTTTTGCCACACACTGTCAGTCCCATATTAGTGTGTCGGTTAACCACACGCGCTCCACTAACGACTTAACAAGGTGCAAAGTGCAATTTCATGGGTTAGCACCAACTTCACATTTTTCCTAAGTAACTAAGATTGGGAATTTATAAGTGTTTAGTTACTTGGTATTTTCATTATACTTTTAATGAGAATTAATGTTCTATCCTACCCGTTCGGCTAACGACCCTCCACGAGTCAAGGAAGCGGTGGGTGAGAGTGGACACCCATTAAACCGCCATTTTATAGGAAGTAACCTATACCCCCTTATAGACCGGCTTCGTGAATGAGGCCTACTAACGGTAAAATCGACTTTTTACTTATACATATAATATATTAAACTTTTAATATTATAATAGTATAAGGGTGTATTTTAAACTTTTAAAATACTAAGTGGTTTAATCTATTAATTAAACTATACTCTTAATTTAATTAAACTTAAACCATGTCATTATGGAATTATTAATTCTCTTTTAATTAAACACTTTAATTAACTATTAATAAAGTCTATAAAGATGTAATATGAATTATTCAAAACATCAAGATGCTAAAACAAAATAAAAACTATTTAATTTATTATTAAGTTATGAACCCATGAGTTACACTTTTGAAAACTTTTCAAATAACTTTAGTTTTAGAATTCAATGTCTCATAAAAAAAACATTTCAAATTCCAAAACTTGAGGGCAAGTTTTGTAACTCTTGAACACTTTTAGAATTCCATAAAAGAGACTTTCCAAGTTCTATAACTTGAGGGCAAGTTATGAAACTCTTCAAAGCCATTTATAACAAATTTTGTAACCTTTTAAGACTCTTGGAATTCATAACTTAAAGATTTAACGAATGAGACTTTTCACATCCATAACTTGTGGAAGTTTCAAAACTCTTAAGATCATAACTTTTAAAAAAGACTTTTGAGTTCCAAAATTTTATGACAAAAATTTGTAACTCCTTAAAAACATTTAGATCAAACTTTTAAAACAAATAAAATAATCATATCATTCTATCTTTTAATAAATTGACCTAATTCAACTCTTGTAGTAAAACGACTCAAATTTTACAAATTAATTAGTTTTTCATAAAATCAAGTAATTATCTTAAAATTTGACAAACTTCATGTTTTTTTTTTCAACTTTAAAAATCAAACATTTGCATCAACATAACAGAAAACAACCCACGGCTCTAATACCACTGATGAGTTTTGTATACTACAACATCTTATGGTGCACATACAACCCTAAATGCTTTGGATCTATGTTTTCTCTAATTATACATGCAATATTGTTTCCAAAGCATTAAGCCTACAAGTAGCATGCAATTGCCATAAACAACATAAAATACTAGTTAGGAGTTTACCTCTTTATGTAGCTTGTAGAACTTGTAGTATTTGGCCTTTAAGAACTTAGTGCCCCAACTGTTGCACCTCAAATGGTTCACAACACACCTTAGACAATGGATGACTTTTGAGAGAGTTTATGCACTAGAAATCGTCTCCATGAACTCTTAGAACATTAGGGTCTAGATTTTATCTATGGGGTGCTCTATATATATGTTAGGAATCCAAGAGTCAAGGGTAAACCTAAATCAATACTCTTGGGCTTATTATCCATGATCCATGATTCAAGTGGGCTAACTCTTTATGGATTCATCCATAAACTTAGTCCATCATGTATCATAAGCCCAAAACATATATATATATATATATATATATATTATATATATATATATATATATATATATATAACTAATTTACACAATTAGTCCCCATTAATTTAGTTAGTCTCTTTCGATCACTAAATTAATTCCAAATTAATTCTTGATCAATACTAATTAAATCATATGATTTCATATTAATATATTAGAACTTATAATATATTAATAAATAATAAATAACCTCTTATCAAAAGTCAATCCTATCAAATTGTCGTGGTGATATGCAACCCAAATGGACCATGCTACTCTCGGGTCAAGTACCCAATTATAGTTATGGGCTTAGACACCTAATCCAAAATTTTACACCTATGTGCCATGGGCACCCCCATGGTCTTACTTGGAATACCATGGGCACCCCCCATGGTCTTTACCTGGAATGCCATGGGCTCCCCCACAAGGTCTTATAACCAAGTGCCATGGGCACCCCCCATGGTCTTTCATGCAATACACAGAAATAACTAACATACCACATAACATATAACCAACTAATTTACCACATATCACTATATCAACTAGCATTCCACATAACACATAATGGGTCGGCCTTGGTGCCTTCGACCCATTGGTATGGTGCGGAGACTCACCTCTGTCTGCTGAATCCGAAAGCCGCTCTCCTAGCAGTGCGTGACCACCCGTGTTGAACAATAATACCATTAACCCAAGGTTAGGGTTGAACATAATCCAATTAAAGGACCAAATCCCCAAGTCCTTTCCTAATGGCCTAAAAGCCCCTTGTTGCTAATGGGCCCAAAGTCCATGTCCAAAAATCATTAATGGGCCGCATGGTCCAATAAAGCCTAACCATAGCAATCATGGCCCAAAACAGATAAATTGGCCCACTAACTCAAAACATGACCGACCCAATGACTGATTAAGGCCCAAAGGGCTTACAAGCCCAAAACAAGTCCAAGCCCATCTGAGTGCGTACGCCCTGCGTACCACTCCTATACGCTTAGCGTACTGACTACTGAGTCCCTGAGTTGTATGTGTTGCGTACGCTATACTACGCCCAACGTACAAACAGATTAAGCACCTTTTTCCATTAAGTGCTTAATACTTGATGTTCCAACGTCCAATCTTTAGATCTGAGTCCATTAAGACGTCCTAAGGCATAAAGTTGGAAACTCTATGCCTTTGCATGTCCCATATGCTCCCAACAACCCATTAAGACCTTTCCAAGAGTCTTAATCCATGCATGAGGTCAAAACACCCATCAAAGACTCCATTTTTATGCTATGAATGGACCAAAGGACTTCAGATCTATCCTCCCTAAGCTCTGGAGTTGCTCAAACTCTCAAGAGGTGGTTCAAGAACACAAAAAGTGACTAAAGAGAAAAACTTAGCTTTAGGAATGAAAATGATGACCAAGGTGAAAGATTTTTACCTCCTCAAGCTCCCTAAACTGCTCAAAATGTAAGATCCAGAAGCTCTTCCTCGTTCAAGCTTCATTCCTCCTCTTCCTTGTAGCTAACACACCAAAAGGATGGTGTTTAAACACTTACAGGATCAAGAACACACTCTCCAATGATTTTAGGGTTTTCAAGGACGTTTGAGGGTGAAGGAGGCTGGTTAGGGTGAAGCCCAAATGAGATAAGGATGCTTACATAGGTCTTAAGTCCGGAAATTAGGGTTTGAACATTCGTCATGTACGCCCCGCGTACCCTTTGGTATGCCCAACGTACATGCTGGCCCTCCGGGATCATCCATGCATGGTACGCTAAGCGTACTCATGAAGTACACCCAACATACTTAATGGACTGTTATGCAATATTTATAACTTCAAGGGCTTCAAAGGTAATACCTGATTTGGAGTGTTACAACACACGATAAAGCACAAAAATAATAAAACTTTTAATTAATTGTAAGACAACATAACTTTTAACATCATAGATATATTTTGTAATATTTTAGAAAGTGTTGTTATGGCGAAATCCAGACGTATACTTAGCTCTTTTACCCAAAGGGTATTGATCCAATAAGCGTCCGAGAATTCACTCTGCATAAGATAAAACAAAGTTAGGTCAGACAACCATGCGGAGGGTTAGACCCCCACATATCCCTCTGATGCCTAAGTTAGATTGTGATTCTTAGTGTTACCTTGATGCTAAGGAATATAAGTTCTCCTTATCTTACCTCCTCCTAGGTTATCATGTCTATGGGGGTATTTATAGGTTGCTTGTGATTAAAAAGCCTATATCCTTGATCGGTCCTCCACCTATTATCCGGTCTACGAGCAAGCATGTTTCTTGTCCTTTCCTTGTTTATTTTATTTGCTTCGTACTATTTTGCATATTTCATGGATACGATGTTGATGCTTGCATACGATGTATTTGAATTCATACTTGTCTAAAGAAAGTTGTAGTGCCTGTAACGCCGACTTGGTGAGTATTGAGTCGGTAATGGGTTTCCTCGAACAGTCGGTCTGGTACACCATTAAGCCCCTCGGTCTTAAGGGTAAAAGAATATTGTCAAAATATTTTTTTCCGTTCAGATTTGTAAATCCATATTGGGTACTGTAAAATCCCTCGCATGTTATGCATTAAATGCTTGCGCCATCACACGTCATCTTTCTTGCTTTGATTGGATTACCCTTAATAAATGCTTTAACTGGTCCCTCTGATTATTTATCGGGTAAGCCTGATTTTTTTCTTGTAGAAACTTCTTTACATTGTGTTCCCTTTGACTTTCCCATCACGATGACTGGAATGGGTGATGACATGTATGCAGTTGCGTCCGAAGTGGACTGCTGCATGCTGGAGCAATACACCCATGAATATCATCTTTTTCCTGTACTTGGTTTCCAAGTTCCATCTTCATCTTCATCTGTTCTTTGATGCTCCGCCTAGTAAGATTGGTTTATATCTCCGACATCTTGTTTTTGGTTACGGTTACCCCCGTCTCGCTTCTTATTGGATGTTCTTTGTTACTACAAAGTTCATATTGTCCAACTATTTCCACATGCGGTGTCAAAATTGTTACTTTCAAAGTTTTTTGTTTTGCTCATGAAATACCACTTGATGTTTCCTTGTTTCACTATTTTTACTGCTTGAAGAAGTATGACGACTGGTTTTCTTTCAACATTCGTCGCTTTCCTCTTTCTCCAGATTTAGCTCGTTCCAATGGTAGCTGGAAAAGTAAGTTTTATTGGGTGAACATGCATAACTTGTGTTTACCGTTTGTTCCTTTTTATGTCTCGCTTGGTGAAGATTTTGCATTTTTGTCTGCCGACCTTCGTACGTTTATGCCTTTATTTTCCAATTTATGTGTGAAGATGGCATTTTTGCCATACGTTGTACTTTCTCTGTGTCATATGAGCCCATTTTGGAAAGCCTATTTTCAACTACAACTGTTATCTGTATGTCATGCAGGTTTGTCTAACCTTTTACTGGATTTAGCATAAGTTCTGTTTTTTGCTTTTCCCTGGTTGTGGGTAATCTCCTGATATAAATGTTGCCTCCGGGTGATTTCTCTGTGCTCATTTATTATAGTAGATGAGAGTAAATGATCCTTTCAGCTGACATCATATTTGGCCGGTGATATCTATACCGAGTCCCTTGTAATGGATGGTGTGGTCCCGGATCGAGATGTGAACCTGATGAATTCTACGCCCGAGTCGCCCATTACTCTTCTAGGTTTTGGGTCAAACGCTTTATCTATTGATCAACTTCTGGACATATCTTTCCCTGCGATTGGTTATGCACACGTTGATTCTTCTAGCTCCGTAGGAATTGTGCCCCCGGGAAGTGTCTCTCCTGACCGAAAGCGTAGGCGGGTTCTCTATGAAAGATCTTGTATGCCCAAAAGTCGCTATAGAATGATATTGATAATAATATATGATCATATATGGTTATACCTTATAGCAAGTTACCATCAATTGATTATTTATTAGTATAATTTGATTATTAATAAATATATTGACACTTGTATCGAATTGGGAATTTATTATTTTTGGGAAATAATATTTTACCAACATATTGAGAATTATTATTTTTAGAAAATAATAATAAAGAGAACAAAAATAGTTTAATATCATATGGTATGATTATCAATGTTGTGTACAATTTTTTTGGGCACTTAGAGTGGTCACTTAATATGCTACCAATTAGCTAGTTATGGTTTAAGTAAAAAACATTAATTTTTATGTTTGTTCTTCATATTGCTGAAATTTATACTCTTAGAGAGTAGATTGCCTTTTGAATTATTTAATGCTTAATACCATACCTCTTACAAGCATCTACTTTAACAAAATTAAAGGTATGACTAGTTGGAGTGTTAAATATTTTATTACTCCTCCCATGCTTGTAAGAAAAGCTTCACCTTTCACTTTATTGTATTCACTTTAATATAAATTTGATGATATATAAGAGAGGGGCTTATCTGGTGAAGTTGGTTGTTCTTATTGGCTTCTTTTTTACTTGTTTTTACTACCAAAAAACCGAGAGCATGGGCCCTCTTCCTATATTTTTCTTTCTTCCTTTTTGGTGCAAAAGATGAAGGCTAAAAGTGTGTGTTCTCTTTAGACATATTTTAGGCATGTGTCTTAAAGCTTAAGAATAACATTTTACAAGTGTTATACTAGCATATATGGTGGTTTTGTCTTGCTTGGTGGATACTTCTAGAGAGCTCTTAATTTAAAGCTTAATGCCATCTTCATCAACTTCCAACCTCCCATGAGGATCAAAGTCTTCAAAGGTTGTTATGTTTTCTCTTCTATGGTTGTTTTAATCTTTATAACTCTTGCAAAATGATCCTTGGTGGGAATAAAACTAGTTTCATTTTTGTTCAAATCTTAAGTCTTTCGTTGCATTGTTTATGTTTTTGAAACAATTTTTGAATAAAAACCCAACACTCTCGCCTGATCAGTTTGAGCAATTTTTATATGAGATTTCCCATGTGGGCCCTTATTGTACGTCTCCTTTGTCTTTAGGTCATGTTGCCCTTAAACTGTAACATCCATAAAATTCATGAAAATTTTAAACTTTTAAAACCAACCCAAAACATAATTTGTTGACAACATAGTTTTCAAATCATGTTCCATATCAGAGTTTTCCCAAAATCATAAGTCCAAAACACGATCATGTGTATGGTCACGCCTTCGCCTTCCCGCAATCCTCTAAAGTACCTGAAGCATAACCCAAAACTGTAAGCCAACGCTTAGTGAGCTTTCCCCCAAAGTACCAACACACAATACATATAATAATAACAAACAACATGCATATAGAGCCTTCAGCATGACTAGATCGCCTCGCAGGCGTTAAGTCTATCTGGACCGCTCAGAGGACCTTCAGCATGACTGGACTGCCGCATCGGGCCTTCAGCCTATCTGGACCGTCCTTCGGACCTTCGGCCTGACTGGGACCTCCTCGCAGGGCCTACAGTCTATCTGGTCCGCCCTAGGTGTCTTGGCCTTCAGCACAAAGAAGGACCGCCTCAACCCAACCAACCATAACATGTTGACATACACATAACTAATAAACATATAACCATGCATCAAAAAATAGGCAGATTTACAGATCACTACCGCATGCTAACATCCTATCTACCAGGATACAAATCTAACATACCACTACAACATAACAACATCTTATCTACCAGGATACAAATCTAACATATAACTACAGCATAGCAACATCCTATCTACCAGGATACAGATCTAACATATCACTGCAACATAGAAATCATACGATAAACTAGGATAACAATCCAAAGGGCCGACCTTGGTGCCTTCGTCCCCAGAAGTACAGTGAGGAAAACTCACCTCAATCCGCTGATAAACAATTGAATGAATCTCTGGCTGCTGGTCCGGAAAATCCCTGCGCTATCAGTATCAAATAACATCAAATTAATATTTGAATTCCGACCCATAACCAAAAGTCTAAGCTACATAGCCCAAAACCAGGGTAAAAGACCATTATACCCTTTGACTCGCTTGGCCCAGAGCCAATGCCCAACTCAGTTACTTCCAAGGCCCAATTCTTAAATGATGCCCCAAAGCCCAATATGGCCCAATCTTCCAAATTGGGCCCCCAAAACCCATCATGGGCCTAAATCCAAAGGAGCACAAAAGATACAAACTAGAAGCCCAACATAGAAGTCTAATGGCCCAACAATGCCCAACCAATAAAACCCAACAATGGCCCATCCTCAAAAAGAGCAAAACGACACACTGGGGAGTACGTCCCGCATACCAGAGTAGTATGCCCCGCGTACTCGCCCCTGAAACATATTATACAAGTCCATAATGCACAAACTCAATATTGCGTTGAGTGTACTCTTAAGTATGCCCAACGTACTCCTCCAACTACCTTTTCACTCCAATAAGCCCTTAATCGGTTAAGAAAAAGTACCAAACTCTCGGATCTAGTTCTAGAAGACTACTTATCAGGTAAAGTTGGCAACTTTACGTGCTTGCATGTCAAAAAGGGACTCAAAAGCTCAATAAGGACTTAGCAAAGGTCTTAATGCTTGCATGGACCACGATACATCATAAAGCTTGCATTTTTATGAACCTTGGGACTTAATGGAGATAAGATCTAGCATCCATTGCTTCTGGAGTAGATCGAAAACCCATCTTTATCACAAAAGACTCCCAAGAGCACACAATACTCCATAAACAAGATCTAACATATAATATCATCAAGATAGAAACTTTATACCTCCAAAATGTAGATCAAGATGTAACAATCTTGGATCCAAAAGCTTCAAGCTACCCTACACTTCTCTAAGAAATCCCTTCTTCTTCTATGAACACTAAAAAAGCTTGAAATACCACTAAAAGTTTAAAAACCACTCAAATGGGGGCTATGGTTTCGATTATAGGGTTTAGAGGGATGGAGGCTGAAGATATTAGAGTTAGGTGATGAGATAAGGAGCTTAAATAGGGTCCAAGACGCTAAAATAGGGTTTGGGTCTGATTGGAGTACACCTAATGTACTTCTGGTACGCCTAACGTACTCCTTAGAGCATCCACACTCAAACTGTTTAGTACGCCCAACGTATGCCATTGTACGCCCCACGTACTGGCCTTAGCAGTAGTACGCTCCGCGTACACTTGTGTACGTCACGTGTACCCAGTTTCACCCTAAAACCACTAAAACTTCCGAAGGCCATAACTTCTTCGTTCTGAGTCCGTTTCCGACGATCCTTATATCCACGAAAAGGTAACGAGAAACTCTACACATCTATCAACTCATACATGCCTTAAAACCTCTAAAAAAAATCCAAATTCCATAAAAGCCCGAATTGACACTTTACCGAAATACCCCTTGGCTCTAAAACAAAAACCGAACTTCCCGGATCACCCTAATTACCTTACCCACACCCAAATGGGTCTAAATCTCTTTTTCCTAAAATGCCCTAAGCCTGATGATACTCGGTCTTCGGGTCATCACCCCGCACTAGGAAACGATTCAGAACAAGGCGTTACAAATCTCCACCACTTAAATTAGATTTCGTCCTCGAAATCATTCCTTACCATCCCTGGCACGCCAGACAACCTATGCAACACGACCACAACCCCGAGCATACCACAACCTTCCCAAGGCAACTGAAACTAACCCTAGCAGGGCTCTCCAACCCAAAGTTGGACGAATCTTTCTCAGCCTTAAACAATCCCATGCAAAATAACCATGTCTACTCAACCTGAAATCTGAAGTTTCAAATTGTTCTGACTCCCTGACAGACCGCCCATACTGTATCTTTGCTAGTTCCGTTATACTTATCCCCTAACCGACTACTCAACTTCTGATAACCGAAGTTCCCACTAGAAAACAGATTCACAGACCATATGATGATGCCGACAACCTTTCACTTGACCAAAGGAACATATATTCCT